CAACAATGATCACAGAGAGGAATGCACAAGTTAAAGAGAATACAGGTAAAATACTGTTAATTCATGGTACATAGTAAAGGATATGATTTGTTAAATGTAAAACTTATGATTTACGATCTACTCTGTAAATTGTCACTCAATTCATAATGAAAAGTTTAAAAAAAAAAGCTCACAATTTACGATCTACTCTGTAAATTGTCACTCAATTCATAATGAAAAGTTTAAAAAAAAAAAAGCTCATGAGCTACATCTAAGGTGCAACTATCGGTCTTTCCATGTATAGAGGAAAGAATGATAAATACTGAAAATGCTTGGAATCAATTAGTCTAACGGACTAATGGAACACGTGAACATCAGTCTCTACAGCCCTGAGATCCGAAAAACTAGATGGTGCCTGGTTACCACCACCAACTGCTCCGAAAGGGATAAATAACATTAGAGGGTCCTAGATAGAATGAACAAAATTCAAAACTATATTTTAAAAAAAAAGACTGAGCTTACTGGTCAAAGAACTAGAAGAATCCTAGATTATGGCCCTTGGTGACCCAGCAGGTCTACAACTAAACTCACTCTCATGTCCCAATTTTCAGCCAAGCAACAGACAGATATATAAGAGGAAACAATATTATTAAGTTATGTTTACCATGGAATGGTCAACATTCAACATTGAAAGGGCATCATTTACTTAAAAGTTCAGAAAGTTGGGAAGGAGAGTGGACTGGAAATAACCAAAGGGAGGAAGTAGGCTAACTGTTGTTCCTTAGAGGGACCTGCAATCATTGAGATGAAACAAAGTATATGATCTGTTGAATGTAAAACTGATGAGCTGTGCTGTAAACCTTCATGCAATTCACAATAAAAAGTTACAAAAAACAAAGTCACTAGGTGCAGGTGCTGTTAACAAAAGTTGTACATACCAGTGCAAGTAATTGATGGAATAACTCCAGTGATCTTCAATGTGCCAGCAAAAAGAAGAGAAACACATTCCCACATAGAGCCATGGCACCTTCATACCAGAGATGTCCACATTAATATGTGCAAGAACAGACTGCTCCAGGACAGGCATGTTATTCAAGTTCCAACCAGAAAGTGCATATTCCTATAAAAGAACAAAAAATGGTGTAAAAAGAGGACACAAATAGAGGGCAAGTATCCAACAGAAACCTCTCAAGATAATCTTCAAAACAATGCATAATTCTTATAATATTTTCAAAAGTCTACAGAATCTGTGTTCTTTGTTCAATACTACATATACTGTATGTTGTTATGTGCCGTGGAGTCAGTTCTAACTCATAGCGATCCTGTACAGGGTTTCCGAGGCTGTAAATCTTTACCGGAGCAGAAAGCCTCATCTTTCTCCCGCGGAACAGCTGGCAGTTTCGAACTGCTGACCTTGCGGTTCACAGCCCAATTCGTAACCACTACGCTACCAGAGCTCCTTATATACTGTATACAACTAAATATTTACTCCTATCTCTAATCTACAAGCTATTTAGGTATCTCGCTAATTATTTCGGATACCTGAAATTATTTTGGTCACTCTGAAGCATATGAGCAAGGCTTCGCTCCCCAGTTTACCAATAAAATGTTATTGTTGTTGTTGTTATTAAGTGCCGTCAAGTCAGTTTCCACTCACAGTGACCCTGTGTAGGGTTTCTGAGGAGTGGTTGGTGACTGATATTGTGGTTCAAACCAACTCTGCAGTCCAGCATATTAACCCACAGTGCCACACCAGGACTCCACCAGTAAAATAATGAGGCCAATTTTAATAGGTCACTATTATATTGCTATGTACCCTTGGTAGTACAGTGGTTAAAGTGCTCAGCTGCCAACCAAAAGGTTGGTGATTCAAACCCACCAGTCATGCTGTGGGACAAAGATGTAGAAGTCTGTTTCTATAAAGGACACCCTATGGGACAGTTCTGCTCTGTCTATAAGGTTGCTATGAATCACAACTAACATGACGACAACGGGTTTGGTGGTTTATTATACTTCTACTTTATTCCCAATAATGAATCTTCCTAAAATATTTATCATTATATTTATAGACTGGTGCTAGATATTTTGAGGATAAGACATAATCCTGAATATGGCAATAAAGAAAACTGAGATGATGCAGAAAGCTACCAACACCACTCTCCACTACAAACACTTGTAGAAATACTGGATAAACTTTAACAATATAATAATAAATTATTTCATGTTGTTGTTATTGCTGTTGAGTACCATCAAGTCATTTCCAGGTCACAGTAACCCTTTATAGGGTTTCCAAGAAGCCACTGTTGAGTATGAACAGCTAACTCTGTGCTTCAATTGACCTCGTGGTAGAGTGCTGATCCTATAGGGCCACAACAGGACTCCAAATTATTTCACATAAGAACTCAAAAGACAGAAGAATTTCCAGTTTCCAAGAAGCAAAGGAAGAAAGCAAAGCCATAATTTAAAAGTTATTGCCAGAATTTTCACAGATTTCCAACTAGACAGAGACAGCAGAGACTGAGTTTCAAAAACCCATTTGTGAAGTCACTTGAGGTAAAGACTCAAGAGTGTCTATCATCCCACTGAAGAACAGTTTTCAAACAGAAAGAAAAAGAAGCCCAGGGACCCAAAGACCATTTCAGATGATCTGTGAAGTCAAAACTATTTTCACCCCAATCAAAAGTTAGGCAAAGAACCTGAACAGGCATTTCTCCAAAAAAGATAAACAAATCGTCAAAATGAACATAAAAGCAAGTTCAATCTCAGCAGTCATTAGGGAATGCATATCAAAACCAAAATGGGATTATCACTTCACTCTCAACAGAATAGCTATTATCAAAAAAATGAAAAACATCAAGTATTGGTGAAGACATAGAGAAGTTGAAACTTTTATCCATTGCTGACGGGAATGTAAAATGATGTAGCCACTGTGGAAACTGGTGATTCTTCAAAAGGTTAAACATTAAATTATCATATGAAGTAGTAATTTCACTCATAGGTAAGACTTCAAAGTAGGGACTCAAACAGACCCATGTACACTGATGTTCAATGCAGCATTCAAGACTTCAAAGTGGTTTGAAACCAACGCTGAAGGAAAACAAAGATAATGGATACATTTCATGTTCTTGTAAAGTACCACTGAGTCAGTTCTTACTCACAACAACCTTGTATATGGTTTCCAAGGAACGGCTGGTGGGTTTGAACTGCCAACCCTGTGGCTAGCAATCCAGTGTTTACCTTACAGCGCCACTTTAGAACTCCACAGCAACCAGGTATCTTGTATATCAGATTTTTACTCAAACGGGAAACAGACAGCAGTGTCTTTCTCAAGGATGGTAGCTCACCTACACGTACACACATGAAAAGCAGTGTGGTTGGCAACCACCTCTGAGTGGGACACCAATGCCTATTTTCTATCCGGGTAAAAATCTGACACTCAAGAGATATGGTTAATGCGCAACACTTAAACTGCCCTTGTTTCAATCAGTCATGACCTAACAGTTCTGAGCCAGTTTAAAGCCCTGACATTTTCCACAATAGCAAAAAGTGAATATAACCCAAGTATCCATAAACAAATGAACAAATCCATAAAATACAGTATATCCATACAATGTAATATTATTTAGCCATAAAGGGAAATAAAGTTCTGATACATTATAATATAGAAGTCCAAAAGACTTAAGAGGACAAATATTGTATAATTCCTGTTACATGAATTATCTATAGTAGGTGTATGTAAAAAAAAAAAAACAACAAAGTTTACCAATGTTTACCAGAGGCAAGTAGGAGGGAAAACAGAGAGTTATTGCAGTAGGAGTAGTTAGTAAGTGTCTCTAAGGGTGATAAAAACAATTGGAAACAGATAGTGACAACCGTACAACATGGTAAATGTGATCAATGTCACTGAATTGCCCATGTAAAATGGCAAACTTAAGTCCTATTCAGTATTTAATGTAAATGGCCCAAATATACCAATTAAAAACAAGACTGCTAGACTGGATTCAAAAACAAGATTCAACAATATACTATCTCAAGAAATTCACTTTAAATATAATTAAATAGATCAGCTGGAAGTAAAACATTCCAACAAAAATAAGCAAACATGTATCATGCAAACATTCATCAAAAGAAATTAGGAGAGATAGTGCCTAGCTACCATTATTGAACATGCTGATCAAAGATTTTACAGAATTCTGATCAAAAGTAATAAAATGCAGATCAAATTACACATTCCCATAGAATCCATACTTTTTATAGACATAGAGGATGGATAAAAACCCCAAACTATTGTCCTGACATAATCCTTAAACCTTAACCAGAAATATTCTCTCAAGTCTTCTTAAGCTTAGTGTATAAAGAATGTCTGCCTCTAGCACTGTATTCTTCTAACAACTATCTACCTGGGGTCAAACTGACACGAGCAACTTGAAAGACTAGATAGCAAAGTTAGGGGGCAGTGAGTTTATGTCAATGAAGGGAGAAAATTTTGGAAAAGAAAGGTGAAAATGTTTGCACGATATGAAGAATGCAATCAATGTCAATGAGTTGAACATGTAGAAATTTTTAAGTTCTGTGTATATTCTCAACAGCAAAAGAAATTAGGAGGAAGCTACAATGGAGTTCTGGTGTGGAAATGTAGGATAAGCACTGGACTGGTACCTTCGAGGTCAGTGGTTTAAACCCACCAACTGTTCATTGGAAATCCTTTACAGGGAAGCTATGAGTCAGAACTAACTTGACAGCACTTAGCAACAACAAATTTCTATCAGATAAAGTAAACTTGAGAGCAAATAAAATTATCAGAATCAGAAACGCATAGAAATCTTAAATGTGTACATACCCAACAATGGAGCTGCAAAATAACTAAAGGAAAAACTGATGGAATTGAAAGGAGAAATTGACAAACCCACAATTACAGTTGAAGATTTCAATAGCCTTTCAGCAACTGATACAAAAACTAGGCAAAGAAATCAGAAAATATATAGAACAACTCAACAACACCATCAACTAATAGGATCTAATTAACATTTAAAAGAACCCCTAGCCAATAGCAGTATAAGTATTCTTTCCAAGTATCAAAGCAGTATATACTACTAAGATAGACCATATTCTGGGCCATTTGAAAAATCTCAACCAATTTTTGAAAAAACTGAAATCATATACTGTGTCCTCCAATCATAATGGAATCAAATTAGAAATCAATTAATGAAAAAAATAACATGAAAAGCTCTATATTCTTGGGACACATCTCTAAATAATCCATAAGTTACATAAGTCTCAGTGGAAAAAATACACTGAAAACAAAAATATAACGTGTCATATTTATGGGACCCAGCTAAAGAAGTGCTGAAAAGGAACCTTATAGCACAGAATGAAAATATTAAAATAAAAAGGAGAAATCCAACATCAATAATGTTTGCATAGACTCCCACCTCAAGAACCTAGAAAATGAACAAAATAAACCCAAAGCAAGGAGAAGGAAATAAAGAATGGCAAGAACATAAATCAATGTAATTTAAAAGAAAAAACAAAATGCTGAATGAAACAAAGAACTGATTCTTTGAAAAGATGAATAAAATTGACAAACCTCTAAACTAAAGAAGAGAGAAGACATGCATGAAGGGGACTGTAATCATTGTAGTGAAACAAAATACGATCATATGAGTGCAAAACCTATGTTCTCCCATGTAAACTATCACTCAATTCACAATAAAAGCTTTAAAAATTAGCAAATATAATTCAACAACATATAAAAAGAACTAGGGTTTATACAAGGGACACAAGTCTAGCTCAACGTTTGCAAATTAACCAATGAAATCCAACATCTTAAAAGACTAAAGACAAAAAATCACATATCAGTCAATGCAGAAAAAACATTTGACAAAACAACACCCATTCATGTTAAAAACTGTCAAAAAAATAGGAATAGAGGAAAACATTTTCAACTTCATAACACAACACTGTAAATTAACAAAGAAAAACGTGGTGATGATTGAGAAAGGTCAGGAGAGGAACTTCATATAAGGTGAAAATGTTTGTATCATAAAAGGATTGTGAGCTAATAGGTTTTCAAATGGTATCATACGGATAGCAAAGATTTATACATTTGTCAAATAATATGGCTAAGTTTTTTTCTTTTCAATGTCTCCTAGTTTTATTTTAAAATGGGAGCATAAACGTCTACAGACTATAACTAACTGGAAAATCTAAAAGGGGTTCTACAACTTGCCCAGTGAAACAGGCTTCTTGCGGAGACTTTACAGTATACAGGACCTTAGGTGGAATCCTAAGCCTCATCCAGAACCTTCTGAGGTGGGACATTCCCACTAGAAAGGACAAGCAGACCAGCCTGGAACACAAGACACATCTTCAAAGAAAGATCAGCAGGAAAAATCCAAAACAAAATGGCAGCATGATTGGCTACTACAAAAACAAGCAAGTGTTCCCCAGGGAGCCATCATGGCAAGCAATCAAGTGCCTTCAGGGCATACCCCACCCCCTCCAAGACTGAAACTCAAAGGAAACACATAAGCAGGCATGTAAGCCTGCTGGTGACCAAGTTGGTCTACTGGTGATGTAAAAGGGGAAAGACAGCAATGAAGAAATGGGCTGAGTTCAACCACAATCCATAGACTCCTGTTGACCTGGAGATGAGAGAGAGAAGAGAAGGACTGGTTGGTCCAAAATGTGGTGAGACCTGGGGACTCCTAAGCCCATGGACAAGGACATAGCCATGAAGAGGTAGAGCTAAGAGTGAAGCATACAGCTGATATGAAGTGAAGGGAGATGTACAAGAACGCCCAAACTTGCAGATAGTACCCATTTGGCCTAACCTCAATGGCTTGATAATCAGAACTCGACTAGAAGAAGATAAAAAAAAAATTTTGATAAAGGAAATGAGTGTAAATTGCTACAATTTGATGAACTTGACCTATACTTATGGATGTAGTAGCTCAAAATACCAACTGAGAAGGAAGGAGTCTTCACATCATATATCAATCCTATCCCCTCTATATACAGAGAGGGACAGGTAACTTAGACATTGGCTACCTAAAATGAGGGGGTGGTAAAGGCATGAAGTGACTGGCTTACAAGGTTTCAAGAAGGAATTTAGTTTCAAGAGTGTGTGGGGGAAGGTAGAGTCCCCACTGAATAGTTTTAACCTTGTGTAGATGGATCTGGTGTTAAGAGATAAGGAAAAGATTCTTATGACTCAATAGTGAGTAATTGTTATCATGACTAACTGCAACTGTCACAACTGTAAAGGCAGAAAGTTTTGTAACAAAAACAGGGGAGTAGTTAATCTTACAGTCCAGAAAGAGAGGATCCTAGGATCATCAAGGGAGAAGAGCACAAGCGGAATGCTGGATCCTATACAGAGAAGTAGCAAAACCAGAGATGGAGGCAGAGATGAGGCCATGGAGAGAGGGAGCAGCTTAGGACTCTGGAGTCAAGGAAAGACTGGAACAGGATGTTGGTGGTCAGGAGGCAGGCTGCAGAATGTGCCCTTTGGTGGTTTAAATTATTATATATTCCTGAGTGTTTCTAAGTACATCCCCCACCACCAAAACAAAACAAAACTGAGGGAATGGAAGCAAATACTGTTGAATTATGATGCACAGAGAAGATTGTAATCATTGCAATGAAACAATGGTAAAAAGCTGATATTCTCCAATATAAATAAAACACTTAGTAAAAATTTTAAAAAAAAGGTATTTGCAATGAATAATTTTTTTTAAATGGAGGCACAAAAAACATAGTAACAAGAGTAGAAGAGTATGTGAAATGACAGGTGATACTCTGGCAGCATAGTGGTTACGAGTCGAGCTGCCAACCTCAAGGTCAGCAGTTCGAACCTACCAACAAGCCATTCCACGGGAGAAAGATGAGGCGTTCTGCTCCCATAAAGATTCATAGCCTCAGAAACCCTGTACAGGGTCACTATAAGTCGGAATCGACTCTACGGTACTTAACAACAACAGTAACTGAAATGGCAGACAGTTAATAGTTGGATTTAGATGCTAGGTATTAAGGAGCGAAATTGCATTATTGTGTTTACTTTGTATATCTTTGAAGTTTTTTTATAAGTTTAAAGAAAAAATCCTCAAAACAGAAGGTTAAACAGTCAATGACAAAACTGAAGAATTTGTGAACTATAGATTGGAGGATATCATCCATAATAAAAACACAGAGACATGGAAACTATAGAAGTGTAGTTAAGAGTTATAAAGGATACAATGAAGAAATTCAACTTAAGTTTAACTAAAAAACAACAGTACGAAATAAAAGACATGATTCCTAAACAAAAAATAAAAAACCAGGCTTTCAACAGATACTACTTGATAGTAGTTGGTTGGTAGGCCAATTAGTCAATGAATCAGTTAACATGAGTCCTTTATGATTAGAAAAAGGTAGTTTTCTACAAAGGCTAAGTCAACTTGGGGTAAGGAGAAGCATGGATAATATAATCTGCACCTCTTCTTCTGGCAGCATCTTTCTCCGACCATCCTTTACAGGAAATCCACTTCCAAAATCTTTGGAGGAGATATCAGCTCCGTACTCTACAATAACATCTTCTTCAATGCTGCTCACCAGTCTCCAGAATTCCTTTTCAACTAGTTCTGTGGGAACCATCTACACAGGGAAAACAAAGATTGTAAACTATTAACCATAACATAATACACAGGATAAGAGAATAAAACATACAATGAGACAGAAAATCTTCTCATTTCCCAGAGCTGAAAGAGTAGATCATAACTTTTATCAACGAGGACGGAGAAAAGATAAAGACAGCTTGGTTACTGAGAAAAACATGAACTTGAGCTCATCTTTTTCTGCAAGAAGTTACTTCTCAACTAAGAATGACAAAGATGAACTAGAGCACCAAGGAGGAACAAGGAAATACAAAAATCAAGACTGAATTTTAATGGCTTTAGCAAATATTTTTGGGCAGGATTGAAAAAACTTAAAAGGCCTTAGGGAAAGAAGCAAACCTAATATCACAAATAATTAAACAAAAGTAGTAGCTGCTACATACCCCATGTTTTTTCTACAAGGGATTGCTCACAAAGGGCTAATAAACAATTCACGCATCAAAATATATTTCTCAACAGGACAGTGAGCACTGTCAGGCCCCTAACTTTTATATTTAGTATCTTATCATCATGTTCATGCTATCCTGATATCTACAAAATAAAAAAACAACAACAAAAACTTGGGCTCGAATGAATGACATATTCCCGATATGGCTTAAATAATACTCACATGGACTGGCATATTGAAATAATCAGACTTAAAATTATCTGCCATTTCTCCAAAGCTCTGAAGGGTATACTCTCGTACAGCTTGTTCAAATCCAAAGGCTTCTCGAGGTTTGTTACACTCCTGGAAAGAAAAAGAATATGATTAACTCACTGAAACTCAACTGAGCAAAGCATTAAAGTTCTCAAGTAGTATCTTCCTTGATCATTTCCCTAGGTGATGCAAATCCAAATAAGCTACACAGCAAACAAGCTTTAGTTACTTTTAATACATTGTCAGGAAACAATGTTCTAGAACTTCAATTGTGTTTTCACAGTCTTCCAGCAAGAAGCAGTAATTAGACAACTTTACACTTGAGAGCTGGCATTAAGCTCTAGCACCAAAACAAGACCCTGGAAGACTACTGACTTGGAATCAAGTAAGTTCCCATAGATAAATTTCATTATTATTAGCAAGTCAGTGGATTTCAAGGAGAAAATAAATATTCTTTCAGAGGAAACAAAGGTAATGAATAAAAAGATATCCATTGAGTTGTGAGGTTACTTGGCTTGTTCACATTATCAATCATCATGTCCAATGTCCTAACACAAATGCTCAGAGTAGAACTGCTTCTTCATTAAATAACTGAGAATAATAAGCAAATCATAGTGGAAGACCATTAAAGATTTTAAATAGATCTAGACACACCCATTCAACACTATCTTTCACTAACCTATCATAATAGCTCATTAAAATAAGCAAACAAACTAGGCATTTCATAATACATCATTATAATCTTTCAGTCAAAGATTTATTATAATCATGTTGAAATCTGGACAAAATAAGAAATACCATTAAGTTAGCATGAAAACTAGATGCACCAATTATAAGTTCTAAAGCATCTTGGTTTGTTTTTTCCATTAAAATTTTGTACTTTAATGAAGCTTTTCTTTGTTTATTGCTGTTCAGCGATAGGTTCAGCAGAGCAATAAAGAGAAATCTGTAGCAATAAAGAGAATTATCTACCCAATAGTCAGAGACAGGATCTTTAAAAGACAAGCTGGCAACACGTAATAATTACATTTCCATATGTTCTTTAAAAATCCTGGAGATTTTAAACATTGAAGAATGAAGAGCGAGTAGAGTAAGCTTTTGGGAGTGTGTGTACATATGTGTATGCAAGCATTAATTGTTCTTAATTTAAAAAGGATTCAAAAGGTTAGACTTATACCTCAGCAACACATTTCGGACACCTCCAGTCTCCTTTGGGCACATCAGGAAGTGGAGGAATAAGACAAAATGTATGATAGCTATCATCACATCCATCACATAAAAGCAATTTGTCTTCATTGTTTCCCCGGCCACAAAACATACAAACATAGAGATCAACCTGTTAAAAAATAAATAAAAAAGTCTATTTCCTATAATGAGTTATATGTTTTTAACCAGGAGCTCCTTAATTAAAATAAAATAATGTACACTGAAAAGTAAAATCCTGAAGAAAAATTAAAAAACATTTTTCATAAAACTGCCTAAATTTCTTTTCAGAGTTTCTACATTCAAGTTAATAAAAATATTGCCTCTATTCTTAATGTATGAAGGAGCCAAGGCAAACTTAGTTCAAAGCTATGGTTCTTCGCATATGATATTGCAGCCAAAAGAGAAATAACTTAAAATTACCTTGCCACATCCCTCATGCTATAGAACTATCATGCTATCAGACTATCTTGTTCAGGAAGCATATGAAGTCATTAGATTAACAAAAGACAACTAATCTTGGTTATCTGAAAATCAATTTATATGAATAAATTATACCATGCTATCATCCTTCTTAAATACAAATACTAGGAATAAAAAACTGAGCAGTATCTATACTACTACTAAAAGATTTAAATAGATTCATATCCATTTTCTCAGTTTTCCCACAGATACATAATTTAGGGGTACAGTCTATCCATATGGTACAAAGCAAGGTTAACATTAAATTAAAAGTTAACTGCAACTTTAATTTCACCATCCAAGTTTCTAATCAAATGAGCTAATTAAATGGCATACACCAAGAAAAAAAATTCAAAACTAACATTTTAAAAGATCTTTTCCCTCCAGTCACATCCCAAAACACTTACAAAATTAACAGAGAGAGTTCCTTTCCGTTGCCTCATTTGCATGCTAAATGCATCTGACCTGTTGGTAACTTTTCGTCTTCGGGAGACCTCATCTTAAAATAAAAAGTTATATATTAATATTAATATTAACTATGGGCTAGCGTAGTGGTTACGAATCAGGCTGCACACCACAAGGTCAGCAGTTAGAAACTACCAGCTGTTCCTCAGGAGAAAGACGAGGCTTTCTGTTCCCATAAAGATTTACAGCCTCGGAAACCCTGTACAGGGTCCCTATGAGTTGGAATCGACTTCAAGGCACAATTAACAATAACAATTGAAAATTAATTAAAGTATTTTAAATTAATTAAAGTCTCACAACAACACTAGCAGGTAGACATACTACTATCACCATTTTAAGATAAAGAACCTGAGGTATAGAGAAGTTAAGTAACTGGTCCACAATCACAGTCAGTCTGAGGCAGATTTAGGATTAAAATCTAGGAAATCCAGCTCCTGAAAGTTTAATCACAAGTGAGCTCCATACACTCTTCTCCTCATATGGAGTACTTGTGGTGGTGCTGTGAAGTCGGTTCCTACTAGTAGTAACCCTGAGTAGGGTTTTCCAAGGCTGTAAATCTTTACCGAAACAGAAAGCCTCATTTTTGGCCAGCAAAACAGCT